ACAGGCCATGGGAAACCAATCCCCCACGACCTGCCTAATCAAAAGCCAAATTAAAAAATACGTGTAATTTGTTCCCAACGGACTCAGAAGCATGGGTTGGATATCCAAAATTGGCGAATTATCAAAATATAACATGGCCATAACAAAGCCAACCAGCATATCAATATTGGGTTTGAAAGAATACCTTGGCGATTACGAGTCACCAACAAATTTATGAGAATCATTACAACCATGCAACAGAAACATATTTTCGGTTAGAAATTTAGCATAAAAAGTTATTAATAGATTTTTGTTTTCGATTAGAGGCGACAGTGAATTAATAACTCTGCCTAGTAATGAAATAAAAAGTATCCGTTACATTGATCTAAGAGAAGAATAAATATTTCATATTCGTTTCAAAAGATTAAGTCTTTGATTTATTTTAAAAGTAATTCTATTAATAAAAATCAGCTTAAGTAATGAGAGATATTTAAAAGGATTGCAAATAAATACGTAATGCCAATTGTGGCATCACAGATACAGTGGGCAGTGAAGAAAGAATCACGTGATCTCATATATGTGATCATGGTCATGATGGGATTAAATGCTTTATATACGAAACGTATTCGAATGCACTGATGAACAGTTTTTGCACCTAAAGTAGTTCGTTTGACCATTTTTGTAATAGCAATAAAATATCACACCTTCAGCTGCATACTAATCAAGAAGTACATTAAAAGACAAGGTTTCATATAATATTTATGAACGAAATTACCTACCCCTTTATTCCAAAATTTGCACTGATGTAGTTTCAAACACAAAAAAATTTAAAAATGCAAAGGATCCCATATAAATTCCTTGATGACTGGAGATTCATCAAGAGAAAACCGAAAGATAATCTTGAAAAATATTAGTGCACTATTGAAAAATAAGTGCACAGTTATAAATAATATCACAACATTATTGGATAAAAAACGTCATTCATGTCATAAATGTACAAAATGTAAATAACAATCGACATGCTTTAAGCTCTAAAAATAGGCGCCCATTTTCTAGACTTGCCAGACGTGAATAAGAAGAAATAGGGATGATTTGAACTGTTTGTAAAGTTGCCAAAGTGTAATACTACAATGTGAGTAAAAGTGCAGTGAAAAATGGAACTCCTATCACCATCTCTCCATTGCGCGTGTAAATGCATTTTACCCTGATTTGCTCCTCTCGGCCCCTGTGGATTTTCTTGTTCTGTTTCTAATTTTTTTTTCTCTCACTGTGACTGTGATTTTTCTAGTATTGTCTCTCGCCTTCATTTTTTGTTGGCAACTTTACTTTTTCTATTTCGAATCACTTCTGTTTCTTCTTATTCACGGGGCCTCCCTGGCCGAGCGGTATCGACGGTCCAAACGCTCTGTTAAGCGTGGAGGTAGCGGGTTCGAATCCCGCCGTAACCCTGGATGTATTCTTTGTGATGTCTTTCTCTGAATTGTTCTATCTGTATTTTCTACTTGACAATGACTTATAAGCCTATATTGAGCACACACGTCAGCAAATGTATGTAATTTCAATAAAATAAAATAAATCTTATTCACGTCCTAAAAATGGACGCGTATTTTTGAGGGCTTGAAACGTGTCGACTGTTATTTCTATTTTGTATATTTTTGAAAGGAATGAGTTGTAGTTCATTTACGTCGCACTAGAGCTGCTCAATGGGCTATTGGCGACGGTCTGGGAAGCATCCCTGGGGATGATCCGAAGACATGCCATCACAATTTTTATCGTCTGCAGAGGGGGATGGCACCCCCGCTTCGGTAGCTCGACGACCTGCACGCGAAGTCGAGTACTTTACGGTAGAACAGTTTAACGAGGACCAATACAGCACACCCTCGGTCCCTACACAGACTGATCCAAGCAGTCCCCCACCCGCACACTGACAGCAGCCATTAATGCTTGACTTCGGTAGTCTTCTGGGAGCCGTGTCTTTAAGTTCAGTCTTCTGGGGGATCCACTTCTTTCTTGGAAACAAGTTTATTTTAGAGATCCTATCTAATGTATTTCAAGACGCAATGACTATTGAAATTCCAATTTTACATCTAAAAATCCTCTATTATTCGTTGTAGAAATGATAAAATCAAGATCTTGAATAAATTAATTAAATAATTTCTTAAGAAAAGTAAATAAGTTTCAAAGGTGTAATTTCCAATCCCTGCCGGGAACCTTGTCAGTCTACTGCGGGACATGAAGGGAATGAAGCTTTCAATTAAGTAATTTCTTCACTGCGTCAGTATCTTAGGATTATTTATTTAATATCAAATCATTTTAAGTTTAACTAAAAACTTGCTACTAAATGCTTTAACTGTAATCTTTCCCAGCTAAATATTCCATAGCAATACATTCATATATTTAGATTAAACACTTCAGCACCTTAATAAATCTTATCATTTCTCCTGAAGTGCTTTGAAACAAATTCGGATTTGATAGTGAAAAACTTGAGTATTAGGATGTATAGTTATACAATACTCTTTTCTATTGTCTCTTCCATTTTCTTTACACTAATAGCTTTGTACCATTTACTGACGGCTTCTCTAATGCCGTTACTCTTCTAGATCTAAATCTAATTCGACTGAGAAGTTTATCTCATTTGTTAAGGTGTGTACTTTTAAGATAGTACAGTTTAATGGCTTCCCTGACTTTTCTCGGATTTAGAATGCATCTAGCTGCTTTAAGTGTTAATGGGGTTCTGCAAAGTAATTTTCCCTTTTAATTTAAATGTTTTACTTAACCGACGACAAATTTCGTAAAGTATGCAACTGAAACAGCTAATTAAAAGAGTATGTGATATGATACAAATATTGTTTTCCTCGATGCATCAAATTTCATAAATGGGCTGCGTTTAAATTCATTCCATTTATATTGAAAGAAATTTTAATTTTAAAAGAAAATAATTTTGTATTTTCAGTTAGTGTTTTATGATTTAATTTTTAAAATCGCAATTCGCTAACAATGTTTTTTTTTCGAATGGCAGGCTCTAAATTTTATTCATTTCGCCTTAGAAGATGCCAGCGTTGTTATTCATTTCGCGTTACCCAGTGGACACCTGTGAACCAAAGTCACGGAGGCGAGAAAAAAATTATCCACGCCACACTCCCTCAAACAGGGTGGTCTCATAGGGTGGGCCACATTCACTCATCACGCCCAACAGAGGACAACACAAGAGAGAGAAACATCCATGCCCAGAGCGGGATTCGAGCCCACGGCCATTGGCTTCGCAGTCAGGCGCACTAACCGCTCGGCCATCTGGCCGGCTCGTTAACAATGTAAATGGGTAATAAATAAGTATTCGTGCAAAATTTCAAAAACTATAAGATGATTGAAGCTCAGACTCTATTAGGTCCAAACAGTTTATTTGAAATAAAGGGGATTATTATAATGTACTTTTTCTTAGTGACTTTGAGGTCCTACACATGAACTAGATTTTTTGTAAAAATCTATAAAACTTATAGGACTGCATTAATATTTCGTTCATGAAAAAGCTAACACATCGGTTTTTATTATGTCCTTAAAAATTCAAATAATTAATTTATCAAATAAAAAGTAGTCAATTAAGTAAATAGCATATTTTAATTATGTATAAATAGGTATAAAAATCATGTCACCCTTAACATTAAATAAGATTTTTAATTACTTAATTGCATTATACGATAGTTTTGTTACAAGCTGTTTTAATGCAAGGAGTATCCAAAGCTGTCAAAGTACATTTAAAATACCTGTATCAGGTAAAGTCTACCACACTGTTTAAATCAATGTAACACTTATCCCATTACAGTCAATAAACATGTTTCTATTGCTTTCAGGCATTCACACACAGGATATTGGCCAATATCGGCTTATAACACAATAGGTCGTAAGGATTCAGGATATATTAAAAAAATATGTTTGAAAAACGTAGAGTGTCCAAACGCCAAAACATTTTCTTCATCATAGTTATAAAATAATACAATCATTATTATGTAAAATATCATTATTCCCATTTCTATTCCCGTTTTCTTATTACTTACTGTACCGGTCTAAAAAAAGTTTAAAGTTAATGTTTATTGGCTTTAATTCACTGAAGAAATTTTTTTTTCTAAATATGCCACGCAATCTAAATATTTTGGTATTTGTTACAAAAATCATTTCATTCAATCAACAAAAACCTGATATCGATAAATTTATCGTTTCACTCAAAGAAAGTAAAAATTAACTAGACTTCTGAAATCATACGAAATTACCAGGATTGATGAAATTTTGAAACTATACATTAATATTTGGTGGTAAATCCCTTGTCAACAATAGCAGTATAACAACAGTTTTGATGTAAGTTCGTGAGGTATTCTGTCGTTCCTACTCAAGTTGGTTGATTTTCCATCGGCGTTCGTTGCATTTCTTGAGGATTGGCTTACTCAGTCAAGAGGGATCACATGACTACCGCAGAATCAGTTCTGAATGCACTTGGACTGATGCTTGGGATTATCATTCGGATTGTACGAAAATCTATTATTTTCACATTTTAGTTTTTTTTAATTCTAATTTATATCCAGGCTAATTCTTTGTAAATTATTTTTCGATGATTAAAATTTTTTTTTAAATATTTGTAGTCCCGCAGTGAACTGATCGCTAAGACACGGTTCCCAGCAGATCACCGAAGTCAAGCATCACTGGCTGCGGTCAGTGTGGGGGTGGGTGACCACTTAAATCAGTCTGCGTAGTGACCGACGGTGTGCTGTAGTGGTCCTCGCTAAACTGTTCTGCCGTAAAGTGCTCGACTTCGCGTGCAGGTCGTCTGGCTACCGAAGCGGGGGGTGCCACCCCCTCAGCAGAGGATCAAAATTGTGATGGCATGTTTTCGGATCATCCTGAGGGATGTTTCCCAGACCGTCGCCAATAGCCCATTGTGCAGCTCAAGTGTGACGTAAATTAACAACAATAACAAATAAATATTTGTAAATTATGTTTTTATATAAATAAAAATATGTTTTTCGTTTCAGATGCATAGATCTAATGCAACTCACGCTTTTCTAACAACCAGTGAAATGCAAACAGAAGGCGTCTATGGGTGTGAAGTTTCTACAGAAACACCACAGTTCAGAACAATCAAAGCGGAGAAAGAGCTATATGTTTATGGTGAGTTTATCGATTTGTTTAATTAAATATTCTTTTGGACATTTAATATCTTCACTAAAAAATTTAAATTTTTAAATCGATAGCTATTGTATCAATTAAGTTTTGACTAGATATGTTTTAACTACAATAATCCATAACTGTACAGATTTAAATTCCTTAAATACAATTAAATATATAAGTTGAATATATTGCAAATATTAAAATCATGTCAGAGGAAGTTATTTCATCCAAACCACTGGCATGCAAACAATGATAAAATCAGATGAAAATGGAGTATAGTGTTATTGTAATATTAGGAAAGCATTTCTTACATTGATTTAATTGTTTTAGTTACTAGACTAGATTCATAAGAGCAAAAACTGAGAAAAAGTCAAAAACGAGTCAATTATTAAGCAAAAATAGGATTTCAGAGACAAATTGAGAAATGTTACATTTTTCAATATGAAAATAATTAAAAGTATTGACAGAATAGAGAAAAATTTTAGAAACATATTAATAAAGTTGTAAAAACTCAGTTTTAGAAGTATATTAAAAACGGGATAATTTTTTTTAAATTAAATATTTGCACGAAACTGACTATGTGGTCACTAAACGACACCACTTGGTCACACAAGAGTTAATCAAATTTTCTAAAAAATATTACATGCTTGGTAATTTTCGTTGAAGAAAAGTATCGAAACCAGACATTAAGAGTTAGGAATCATTCTCTCTGCCTGTGAATTTTTTTTTCTTTGCATGCAAAGGCTAACCTAATAGGTGAAAAATATTTACCCGCGAAAAAAGCGCCAATCAGATACTCGCTCGTACGTGAAAAAATTGCATCCAGTGAGAAAAACTCTTGAAAGTTTGAATTATGGAAATCCGTTAAAAGAAATACTTAAAGAATTCTACATATTCAAAATCAAATCACATTTGTTGTTTGTTAGCAGCGACGAGATGTAACTTTCGAAATCTCATACATGCAGGGTGACCACCACAAAAGATTATATTACTCACTGCAGTATATTCTCCATAAAATCTAAATTCTTAAATATATATATATGCGTCAGATAGTCACTACAAGATGGAACTTTTCTAATCTGACATTTTCAAAAGATGACGTAATGGGTCGGATAGGGAATAAATAACTCACTCGCAACATATTTACAGTAAAGGATTTTGCTTTTTAGTTTTGCTGCCTTTCATTTTTAGGATTAGAAACTACAGTTGATATAGATTAATTGCTACACCAATTTAATATGAAATCGGTGTTGACGTACGCTTTTTGATGTAATATTAAGCTTTAAGATATTTCAATAATTCATATAAAATAATACTTAACACTCTCTAATTTATGTTTATTTTCAACTTCAATTTAAGATATATTTTAATCAGCTTTTTGTAGAATTAGCATTTATAAATAATAAAGTATTTTTTGAAATGATACAGAAAAATAATATGTTTAGGTAGAAAAATATTTATTGTCTATTTGAAATTTTGTAAAATTTAATTTAATTGAAAATATATAAGTAATTAGATATAAACATGTAGAAGGACAGTTAATAATATTAAGTAAAAACAGACAATATATGAATTCAATTATTTCCGAAATTTTGCATAAAAATGCGCAGATCCAACATAAAATTAGATTAGTTCAATATTCTTAATTCCCTTACAGTTAACTGATAATTACGTAACAAGTTGGCACACCATCTTTTAACTTCTTAATATAAAATAAGTTGAAAATCTATCTTAACAGCAATAAAATATACAAAAATAATACTTTCGGAGAGAAAACCAATAATTATATCAAAATTTTCATCACGTAATACAATTTAAATTTAATTTTAGCAACTGAATAAAATGTTAACACGTAGAGAGATAGATAACATGAAAAAAAATGAAAATTTATATGAAAGGAATACTTTGGGAATAAAATAATTCTTAAGAAAAATTTTAATTAAATTTGCGTCTTAACAATTTCATTCTTATTTGAAATAATGCAAATATAACTTTCAAATTAAATAAAATTTTTAATGTTGTGAAATTTACTCATAGTTTGCTAAATTCTAATAATTATTTTTAAATTATTATTCAAATAATTTTTCCAAATTTTTATTTAATTAAACTGATTAATTTTCTGGAAAGCAAAGTTCTGGAAACATTTATGAAATCATTCAAATTTGTAAATATATTCTTACTATGAATTATTTCTTTTTTTTTTACAAAAAATAAATTTATGCATCCATTTAATAGGAATTAGAAATCAGCAGTAAATTAGATAAGGGATCGAAATTAATTTCTAAGTTATAATTGCAAGAAGATAAAAATTTAATACATTAGAAAAACTCTTATTAGAACGAATTTTGTCTTAATTGCGTAATTAAATTTACCTGAATTTCTAAAACTTTTAGCACAGTAAGATATCAAATTACATTTATACAAGAAATATTTTGACCAGCAAAAAAAGTAATATATTAAATGTTTGCCTTACAGAGTAAATATAAAATACTTTTTAAAGTATTTTGAGGCAAAAAAATAAATTTTTGTTACAATTGGAGAAGCAATACCATAAAATCTGGACAAATTTTACACGATAAAGAAATTTCTCCATAAAGCATTTATGCTTAAAAATTTGATACCAGTTTTTTGTTCAGAAATTCCTAATTTCTGCTTGGAAAGCTTTTAAAATAATAACTTGCAACCCTATAAAAATTTAAAAAAGGCAATTCTAAAGGATCTGAGTAAATCAAAACCATCGACACAATTTAGATTTATTTAAACTTGAGAAAGAAAAACTCGAAGCAAATAATAATGTAAAGAAGTAACTAAGAATCCAGACTTATAGATAAAGAAAATTAATGTAGCTACATGGAAGCAGATTGTAATATTACTACAGTCTTGCTGTTTTGAAATTCACTCTAAACCTAATACTCTGTGAGATAAATTCTCTGAGAGTAAAATTAATAATGTTCTTTTAAAATGAACGAAAGTAAAGCTACTATTGAAGAAACAAATCTGAACTTTTACTATTTTTTAATTCTTAAATTTGAGAAGCAAAGAAAAAAAATATTGCAACCTGTGTTTTTGCTTGCCAAAGCTGATATTGTTTAGAAATTAATATACGTTTTATTGCAAAAAATTTAAAAGCATTAATAAACACGTGTCTCATATAAGCTGCAACATTTGGAAATAATGGGCAGATATGAAGAGGTGCTGACTATTGAACACATTTATGACAAATATCAAACCATTTTTGTTTGATTATTTTAAGATCTATAAAAAGGAAGCCCAAATGAATCAAGAGAATATTTGCTTCAGCTGCAGAAATTTATATTTAATCTTACCTTTATTATTATTTAAAAACAGTCACTATATTTATAAAAATTTAAAAATAAACACCGTGAGCTATCATGCGCTACATTAAAATGAAATTCTTAGAAAATTTCTCTCGCCTTTACCCTCAAATAATTTTTTTTAAAAAGTTACAAGGGAATGCAAATTTTGATCTTTTTTTCTTCTTTTTAGTGTAGGTGAGATAATCAGTTTAAATTGTTTCTATGACTCCTAGTTCGTGGGTAGATAGCAATCCATTTTCTCCACTTTTTTTCATTATTTTTCTCTAACATTTTTCTTTCTCTCTTCTGGTAATATTATAACTCTATCGATACATTTAATGCCTCATGTGTTTCTCTTCACCTCCAGAACTATAAGTGTGTGTATTAAAATACCGACAAACTCTGAAACCCTGTATTCAGAAACATACCTAAATAGTAAGTTATGAAATAATTTAAATTTGCGAACACAAAATGCTGGGAAAATTATGGAAGTCTAAAATACTCACCGAAAAGTATGAAAAACATTTCCAATTCTATAATATATATATATATATATGCTATACGAAATAAAAAATTTATGCGAAATAAAATACTTTACTATTTTAGTTATACCAGAAGGTGATCCTGTAATTTATGGAATAATGAACAGGTATCCCATTGGATCGGCAGTAAATGTGACATGTGTATTTGGGCCCTCGAAGCCAGCAGCTGAATTAACTTGGTACATCAATGGAGATAAGGTAAGCCAATAGATCTTACCATTCACATGGTCCTCATACATAATAGTTCAACTATCAACTCATTTAATTGTAAGCAGCATGAACTGAATGCAATAAATTAGCTATTGATTGAGGCAGTCTTCTAATAAAATTAAACTACAAGCTGGTTGTTCATTTATTTAAGTAACGTTGCAATTTATTTAGTGTTAAAACTAAACAATTGCTTTTAACGTAAATATACGATGGTATTACACATGCATAGGTTGTCTTTGGTCGCACAATATCTCGAATTATATTTAGAAGGGGAAATCTCTCAAAACAATATTTATTTCTACAAATATTTGATTTACAAATGGGTCCAGATAATATTTTTTGAAAATAATTATGAAATCAGAGAGTGCGTTAAATCGCTTATTTGCAAATAAAAAACTTTAATGTTTGTGATAAATTTAGTTTTATGAAGAATATGGGGAAAACAATGCTATTTATTTCCCATGTAGAACAAGTCTTTTATATTAAACACTTCATGCAATATTTGTTTGCACTTATAATGGCTAAATTTGGTGCGGTTGCAGTTGTATGTTATAATTGACTAATCGAAGATTGTGATGAAATCAGAATCATGAAGATGGCAGTTGATGACCAAAACTGGATCATAATTAAACCTTTATTATAGCAGTATTTTTAGAGCTCTAGATACAAAATTAAAAGTATATTTTCATCCAACTGAAGTGAAATAATAAATTTTGCATAATAATATAAATAGGGACATGGGATATAAATGAGATAAATCCCCTCATGACCAGCCAAATTAAAAATAAAAATAAAAAGTGATTGCTCCCAACAGACAGTTAGGAGTATAGAAAGAGATCCATGGTTGGTAATTTATCGAAAATATAAAATATCCGCAAAAAAAAGCCAACATGCGCGTAATTATTATTAACTTTTTAAATAATTTGGCTGTAGCTTAATAAAAAAAATGAATAAAAACAATATGAAAAAAAAAGACAGTGAAAATTAATATAACCCTGTGACTGAAACATATTTATGGTAAGAGTAGATTTTGATGCTCGATTTAGTCGAGACAGTGCAAAAATGAGTTTTACATTTGTATTTAATTAAAAAGTTAGCCGTTACATTGATTGTTACGAGAGAAAAAATATTTAATTTTGATAAAATGTAATAAAAATTAAATAATTGGTCTAATTAAATTAAAATTTGATTAGGAATAATCAAAAAATGAAATTTATGAAATTGAAGAAATTTTAAAAGCTAGGAAATATGTAATACCCATTATGGCAACATAGTACTATTACTCTCTACTATTTTAAAATTGGTTAAACAGTGGACTATGATTTAAAAATTTTGCTAAAGTATTGAGCTAAACTAAACGTTTTCGTTTCGGTTATGCAAATAATCATAAAATAAAGTATACTAAGATGAAATATTTAAGTAGATAAAAGTTGATATCTTGCAAAAGGAACATGAGATTTGAATACTATAATTTAACAAGTGCACTCTTTTAAGGCATGTATAGGATTAAAAAAGATCGACATTTCTTGCGGCAAGAGAATGCCAGGTTGATAACAAAGAGTTATAAAATTATTTAAACTAAGCTTAAGAAAAATTATTATTTACTATTGGAATAAAGGAAAATGAAGATTTATTTAATCATTTTCATTAATATTTCTGTTAAAAAAATGATCATTTCTTAGTTCAGCAGCTTTGTCATAATTTAATTTTAAAAAAAATATCAACAGTTTACACCCTTTAGTACGGCCCATTCATCACAAGGACCTTTTCTTAAAAAAAATATCAGCAGTTTATCCTCTTTAGTACGACGCACCCATTACAAGGACCTTTTTCATTATAAGAACCGAAGAAAAAAAGCTGTTTGCTAAAAAAACTGATAGTTTAATTATCCAATTTCAGCCATTCATTCCACTATAAGCAGACTAAACTTAGTTTATTTTTTTATGCCAAAGAAAATTATTAAAAAAAACATGTTATAAGCAAGCAAATTCCATTGACAAAAAAATGTTGCAGGGAAATAATTTAATTCCTTATTTCCTTTGATGTCATGTACTATTAATCGCGATATATTAAAGCTATATTACAAACTTTTTTCTACATTCATAACTTCGAAGTAATTTTTTTTCTTCATATTTATGAAGAAAAAAGTATTATTTTAAGCATATAACGCTTTTTAGAATAACCCCTAAAAAGAAATAGTAAATACTAATTAACTAATATTAAGATACCAAATCAATTTAATCGTAATATTTCAAAGGGATTTATTATGGATATGATCTAGGAACTAATTCGTTGATGCAAAGCGTGATTTAAATTTTATTTCAATCCTATATTTGCATTTTAGAACGTTCCCTAAAGAAACCATAGGTTCTAATCAGAGAATTTTAAAATTACGATAAATTTAATCTTTATATTTTACATTGGTCGGGTACCACCACGATTTGATATTAAGATTTGATGTTAATTTGATGTTCGATTTCATCTCGTCGCTTTTATTTTTTTAGGCGCCACATGCTTATGTTAGACATAGACAAGCAGAACTTTTTCCCAATGACCTCGAAACTACGGAATCCAGACTTTTCTTCGTTGTGGATCCGAGCCATCTTCGACAAGGAACTCTAAGTCTTCAATGTATAGCTTCTGTTTCACTTGTGCATTCGAAGAGCAGTATAGAGCTCATTGTTACAGATGGTCTCTCCGGAGCTGAATTTCAACATGGTAAGTGACAACTTTACTTCGATAACAAGGAATGTACTATACATGGTACTATACATTTAACGTATGCATACATTGTTATTAAATGATGTTTCAAGGGAAGCAATCATTAGTGTTAAATCAAATAAAGATATACTTAGTGCTACATATGAATAAAGCATTAATAACGGCACAAAAACAAGCATTACATAGTTTCAGTTTTGTTATCAAGAGCCTTACACAGTGTCAAAGCATTAAATTACTAAAGAAAACACGAGATCAGTGGCGTACGCAAGGGAGGGGTTTAGGGGTTTAAGCACCCCCCTTGAGTTCAGACAATGAATATGCGAGCTATTATATTTTAAGACTATATATTTTTATTTACCTTATGCCTACTTTTTTTTCCTCACGGTATTTCTCAGAATACTGAAAAAACATTTACTATAATAGGGTTGTACTTTTAAGACCAAATTCACGTGATACTGTTACGGACTGGTTCCTTTCTGTCCTGCCAGTATAGTTTTCGAAACTGGCTGTCATTCGCGAGGTCTTTACTCGATGATTCTAGAATCCTAGACGTTCTGTCGTCTTTGAGGCAATTCGAGAATTTTGGAGATGCAGTGAAAAATTATATAAAAGGGGGGAACGGAGTACAGTGGAGTTAGTTAGTCAGACTAAGAGTTATCTCTGCCGCTTGTCTTTCGGAGCTTGTCGCTAAACCTGTTTTGTCTTGTCTTAGCCAATAAATAAATAAATATATATATATATATAGACAGGGATTGGACAAAATGGAAGCACCAATAAATTACAAACNCTCAATCGACTTTCTCTATATATATATATTTGCTGTTCTTGGATCTTTAGGATGTCAAAACGCAAGAATTTAACAATTTGTAATTATTTTGAGAAAAAAATCATGACCTGAAATTAGTGAGGTGACAGCATCTAGTACCAATGTAAGTTTTTCTGTTGTACAGAAATGTGATACTTCCGTTGAAGAAAACGTTTCTAGCATAACAAAATCTGATGAATGTGAAAGTAACCCTCAAAGTGTTACTTCCCACCCATATGACGTTGGACTTTTTTCAGAAGATATTGCATTATGTTCTTAAACTTAAAAAATCAAATCAAAATTTAAGTAAGCAATGTTGTCTGAATAAAAAGTCAAAATTGTCTAGCTGTCTAAATTAGGGAAATAATAGTGCTTTATTACAGACTCGAATTTCTTTTAGTAGTTTCAGAAAATTATGAACACCCCCCTTGAAAAAATTCTGCGTACGCCACTGCACGAGATAAACTAGTTGTCCAAGGAAAAAAAGTTTAGACAATGTTTCCTCGACAAGGAACTCTAACTCTTTAATGTATAGCTTCTGTCTCACTTGTGCATTCAAAGAGCAATATAGAGGTCATTGTTAGTCTCTCCGAGACTGAATTTCAATCTGGTAAGAGCAAATCTCATCATTTCTATGAAAATGTAGATATCATACATCGTACAATACATGCATCATCAAAAGTATGCATGCATCGTTATTAAATGACGGCTTAAGGCAAATAATCATTATTATTTACTCAAATGAAGACAGGATATACTTCGTGTTACATATGAATAAAACAAAACTATATGAATGAATCACAAACAAAAGCACAAAAACGGACATAATATAGTTCCAGATTTGTAATCAAGAACCTTACTCAGTGTCGAAACATTGAACTACAAAAACACGAGGTTGTACAAGGAAAAAAAGGGTTTAATCGAAAGGGAGAGATAAACGAGCTTGGGTAAGATCAGAATACATAACTAGAATTCTAAACACAGGTTAGCGTTCTGTTCCTGCTGAAATCATTCAAAACTGCTCGTCAGAAACTGGCTTTGTCTTTTTTGAATAAGTTCTTATTTTGAAAAAGTATAATAAATTCGTCAGAATCCCAGTTTTCTTAGTATTTAAAAATATATTTTAATTTAACTTCCATACCTTTGAGCACCTGGGATTTCCACTCCTATAGACCTGTTTCCTTTCTTCATTCCTTTGTTTATAGTGCTCAATTTTTCCCCTTTTCCCCTATTGGTCAAAAAAAAAATTTCTTGTTGAAACTTGTTTGTCTCTCGCTTCTTCAGCCGTTCTGTGTTTTAACACTTGTGAAAATTGTTGTCCATTATATTAATTGCGCAGTTATATTAGTTGCACATTATACTAATACAATTGTTATAACAATCATCTTTTAATATTTTCTTTTGTTTTGCTTCCTTTTGACTTTGCTGGGTAAAAAGATGAAAACATTAAGCTACATCCCATTAACATTAATATTTAATTATTTTTTCATATGTGGCAATAAGTAAAGAATATATAAATAAAGATCGTCTGGTTTTGAGCAGGTTTTTCCATCGATTAATGAGAAAAGGTAAGGTCTGAATCGTTCTAAAATGACATTAGTGAGTAATATTTACAATGAAATGACTAAATACATATTTGAGTAGTTACAGTATTTTCCTAGTGAACTAAATAATTGATCTCAATGTATTAGAAACTTAGTAACTATTTAGCTTAATCAATCAAAATGTGACCAATATATAAACGATGCGGTTATCTCAGGTTTGCAAAATAAGAACTTTTCTTTTTAAATGTTTTATTTTATGGCTGTATTTTTTAAGTCGTAGCTTAATAGTTATAAGAATAAAATACAAGTTGTTCCAAATTAAGCATAAGCTTATAAAAAAGTTTAGCTGGAGAACATTTAAAGTTCTAAAAACAAATCTGGCAGCATTTTCACATGTCGTGGTATAAAGATTTTCCTATTCTTTTTAATTTTAATTTAAACATTTTATGACAGTTAACTTCTTCCACACCCTTTTTCCATTGAGTTTTGATGCATTAAAATTTTGTTCCTTGATCCACATGCAATTTTAGATGATGGGGAATGCATTTTATTTTCTTTTTTATAACCGTTGTTGAGCAGCTGACCTAATTTTCGGGTTTAAGACTACTAATGTTCAACTCCGTTGCCTTGTAATTTTGAACCCAATCCAGAAGACAAGGGAACTCCTAGATCGAGTATAAGGAGAAATTTGTCTGTGTAGAGGACTTTTTGATGGAGCTAACCAGCATTTGCGTTACAAGGAGATGAAGACCACGAGAACCTCCCACGGTTAGCCTGATGGCAAGGGGACTCTAACCCATGATCCGTCTTCCACTGAGAATATTTCACGTCAGCACTGTGGTCGGTGCTAGCCGGATGCAAAATTCGTATCGACTGGGATAGAGCGTTCGCCTCATTCGAAGGCGAACGCTCTATCCCCTGAGTTATCGCTGCTCAGGGGATAGATTGTGGGAGATACATTGAAAAAATCATATTGTGATTTTCATTCATAGAAAAATTTACTTAATTTTCCGCTGTCTTACTGTGATTAAAAGATGTACAGTTCGTCGAAAAAGAACGGACCCCTCTGAATAACTTTTGATCTATTGATGGGATCTTGACGTTTTAGGACTCAAGCCTAATCGCTCCAGGGGGTGACCACAAATATGCTAATTATTAAGAGCAGACGATATTTTAAGTTGCGAAATCAGACGCAAAAAGGTACGGATTTCTGACCCCTAATTATAGGTGATAGCCTTATTCTGGGAAATATGGTCCCAATAGTTTGGTCAAGAGAGCACTCCAAAGTTTCTAGATATAGTTAAATACGCAAAAAGTAAAATAAACATTAAGGAGTCCAAATTTTGAAGCGCACTTTAGTCAAACTATTGAGACCATATTTCTAAGATTGCGGCTACCCCTATATTTTGGGGATCAGAAATTCGAATCCGTCGAAGAAAAGGTATGTTTTTTTTTTAGAGAAAGTACGTTTTTGTGTCTAGTTTCGTAACTTAGAATATCGTCTGCACTTATTAATTAGCATATTTGTGATCTCCCCTTCAAGCCATTAAGATTGAGTTCTGGAACTTGGAGATCCAATCATTAGATCTAAAGTTATTCAGGGTGGCCCGTTTTTTTTCTCGTCCGCTTAGCGCATACTACTTGCAGCACTATATATTTAAATATTTTTTTATCAAAATAGAGCACTTCGGGCAGAGAAATTATGCTCTGTTAAATGGATTTGCTTCAAGATTGATTTTAAATAAAATCCAGTAACCGTCCGTACACCGTGCTTGCAGGTTTAGTCATGCTTAGAATGCCGGCAATTTTTCACATTTTGAGAGATTTAAACTCAAAATATATATTTATTTTTTAGATTTTAGAAGGAATAAATATTAAATCAAGAAATTGAATTTGGTACTTGATAGTAAACTACTGAAATAATTCTAAACTTTTTGTTCCTTTTCGTAGAGAAGATTTTTTGAGATTTGGATGAAAACTTGCGATAATGGTTTTATTCAACCTTAAAGCCAACGAACATTGAAGATTTTGAACTCTTCGGCAACTCACTTAACTTTTAGTCCCTAGCTTTAGTTTTCTTCTCACTTTCTTCTCTTTTTTCTTATTTTTACTAAGATTTTTTAAGAAAAAGGAAAAAATTGAGGAAGCGGATAAGGGACGAAAAACCCATTCCATTAAACATTTGATTTCAGCGATATTTGTTTTTCAATTTTTTTAAAACTTTTTTTTATTCTATGCAAAAAATAAACCTTTGCTGTTTTATTAGAAATGTTTTGTTTGCTACCACTGTTTAAGGATTTCAAATAAACAAAATATACCAACACTATTTCTGCTTTATTAACTTACCATATTTGTTATTATTTATTTACCCTTATTTACTGTGTTTAAAACTAAAGGAGATCAAAAAGCTCACACAGAGCAATAAATTTTAAGTTACTAAGCTAAAAGCACTAGCTCCCAAAACTCCACCTTAATATTTATTAGTAGAATCCTTGTCAAACAGAATTCTAAAACAATCTGCTAAGTATAAGTAGAAGATTAATATTTAAGCGAGTAGGAAAGAACAAAAGACTCTCTCGAAACCTACAAAGTCACAACCAAAAAAGGTGAACGATCATACACTGCAGAAAATTTTAGTGTAGCTTAAC